ATGCCGAGTGTAATATAGTTACACTGCAGAAGAGCAGCTACATCCTGGATGCACTTTAGAACCATACAAATGTGGTGTAAGAGGTGAACAAAACAGAAGATCGCTTGGAAAACGCTGGAGTCATCCAACACACAACTGCCTAGAGTGTAACAGCAATACCTTTCAGTGCTTTTAAGATATTAAGAAATGTGATGGGAAAACTCCTTAAGAGGAAGGGTACTATTGGCCCATTGATGAAGATTCTATTTTCAAAAAAAACCTGCATGATCTTATGCCATCACCTTAACAAAAGAGTCAATTTAATGAGCATATAAGGGATTTACTGTGACCTGAGAAAAATCATATCCCCATTCAGCACAGACCTGTGTCAGGAAAAAAACTCGTGCATCAGCTCCAAATAGGGAGTTGCCAAACGATCAGGTCTTATTGATGAAGTGTAATTATTGATATTGTGATTCACATCCATCTTTGCAAAGGTTTCCTGAAGAGGTTAATGTAAGACTATTATTATCAAAGTTGATACTGGGAGTAGTTTCACCACATAGCTTTTGGTGCCATGGAAATAATTACTGGATGCATGTTTATTTGCTGCATGTTTTTTTGTGGTTTCGTTCAGTCAGTTGAGATCTTTGAAGGAAGTGCAGAATATTGTTGAGGAGCCTTCTCTGTTTTCTGGATGTGACTTCACACTGGAATAGCTGGTCACTGAAATCTTGGAACAATGGAGGAGGGATCCATAGACAGGGGAGCAAAAGACATTCCTTGACCTTGTGTGACATTAGAGCAGAGTAGTGACTACTTCAAGGGCTCCCATGTCCTCACTTAGACAAGCTCTACTGACTCTGCCATATGTAAGAGATGGCAGCACAAGCATGACAACAGTAGTCACCCTCAGGCCCAGATCAGATACCCAACGTGGTAAATTGCTTTCAAGCACTAGAGGCAAAGGGGGATGCTGTAAATGCTGAAGACTCAGCTTGTCTCTCGGCCTCCACCCATCTGTTCAGAACTTGAGATCAACTGGAAAAGTAATGTAAAAGGGAAATTATCAGGGAGCTTCTAAAAGAAAGAAAGATAAAAGTGTGTCAAACCAGTGTTGCTCCTTCCACATCAAGGTAACAATCTTCATGAACAGAGGAGAAGCAGTGGACACAGCTTTATTTTAAGTGACTCTTAACAACTTTCCGTAAGAAAGTAGGAGGATGTGGTTTGACACCAATTTTAAAAGTGAGATTATTATAAACCTGACTGGAAAACCCTACTCAGAGTAATTACTAATCATTCACAGTCATACTGCAAGGACATAGTGAGATTCTCTACAGTTCTGCTCTGATTTGATGTTATTTGCTATTTTCATTAACAATTTACATTACATATGCTGATTAAATTGTAGGGAGTACCAGACTCGAGTGAACTACTGAATAGAGGATAATAACAATTCAAA